TTGCCATGCTTTTTCGTCACGCACAAGCATAAGAAGGTTTACTGCGCATGCTCATATTCGGTAATTGAACCTCGTCGTTATCTGCCGCTCTGCTTTCTTATCTAGTCGGAAAAGTAGACTGATCAAAAGAGAGGATTTTGTTGTGACTCCTTCTAATAACAACTCTCTGATTCCACTGATTTTTTTGGCCATTTCGGTAACGTGTCCACAATTTATTTAGAAATAATGTTATTTTATTTATAATTTCTAAATCAGTATTGCTTTATCGGAATATTTTTTTTACTGCAAGCGTACTGAAGCAACCTAAAATATGGGGTCGGCTTTCACAAAAACAGCTCTCGTTCATGAATGCCTGACCCGATTTTCATGGCCATTTCACTAATAAAAAGATAATAAATTGATCAAGCTTTCTTGTCATCTAAAAATTAATTTCATTGCCTTAAGGTGGTCGTCGGAACGCCCAATTATGTAGAGGAGCGAAATCTTAAATCTTGACAATTTCTTATGTTAAGAATAGGAAGGTATTGCTTGTTTTGACGAAAAACTGCGATTTTTCAGCCAATATTTGTCCGAACGACGTGATTTTTGTTTTAGAAGTATAATGGCCTTTTTACCCGTTTAGCTATTAGTTTTAGCAGCAAAATCTCAGTGAACCATTGTTATGGAACCTGTTGTATAAGCTGGCTGGAATGAGATCACTTGTTAATATTACTTAAATAGAGTATAATTGTTGTTTGTTGGTGTGCCTATTCTAGGCTACCAGAGGGGAAGGTGTGTTTTCGAATATTAGGTAGTTTTTACCGCACGACGTTAACCTTAACGTTAACGGATGACGTTATAATTTCTTCATCTTACGTGCGAAGTACGTAAATCTCAGGGTTTACGTGCTCGACGTATGTTAGTTACGGGTTTGCGCATGCGTATTTCGATTTGTTTACAAAAAGGGGCGTGCTATCGCATTGCATGTTGGGTCCTATCGTTAAAGTTAAGGTTAACGTCGTGCATCGAAAACTACCTATTATTTGACAGTCAAAACATATGGTGCCTCGATGCTATGTTGCAAAGAAAGATCATCATACCTTAGTCATTGATGGCGGTATAGAGAACACGGTTGGTGACACACAGTGATTACCAACAAAAGAAATTATTATAGAAAAATAGTTTAAACTCTAAAAAAAAACGTAATAGATGACATTCCAGGCGACATTTTCAATAATCAGTGCACGCAAAAGCTTCTGAAGCATAACCATAATAAGAGATGCTTCAGTGCGCGCTAGCCTTTGAAACCGCAAGCAACACACGCTACCAAATAACCACTTTAATTTGAAGGCTTACCTGTCATCCGCTTCGGAAAAATGATCGCCTAAAACCAGGTCTCGAAAGCGATACCTAGGCGGGAGAGGAGGGACATCGCCATATCCTGTATCAGCCATACTCGATGGTGTATGTACTAATGTAAAACAACTGAAAATAAGCTTCTTAGATATCTTTCGTTTGCTACAACAGTGATTACAGCTCTCATTTTGACTATTGAACTATCTGTTATGGTGGCTAACGCTAAGTAATTGGGAGCACTCAGCTTACTGAAAAAATAATCATGAATACACACGATCAGACTGTTGCCTGTAGACACAGAGAACACTAATAAGTAATATAAACCTCGGATTTTTGTATGTTGCCATTTAATATATTTTTCATTTTTTTATATTTTATATACCATATTTATTTATTTATTCAATTGAACATACACTTTTGTTTCAGTGGCACACAACATTTTAGTGCGTTCAATGAGAAAGAAAAATAACTAAACTAAAAGTTATACAAAACTATTATACAATAACAGTATACATTTATTCGAATAAACGCCTCGCTTTGAACAAACGCCCCCTCGAAAAATGCCCCCTCCATGGCCAGAGCCGCATTTAAAGAGCGGTTTCTGGACAAAACGGCAATAAGTCAAAACGGCAATGACCAAAACGGCGAAAAACAAAAACGACAACACTTTTCTTCCAGAACGGCAATGGACCAAAACGGCAATAAGTCACAACGGCAAGACCAAAACGGCAATTGGCCTAAGTCAAAGCGGCAACAGGCCTAAACCAAAACAGCAACACTTCCAGAATAAATATTGTAAAAAACAGATAAAATTCGCACAAGGCAGGGCAAACAAATTTTACAATAAAAAGATGATGCAAGGATGTGATGATCTATGAAAGTTTTCTTTAAGAATTAAAAGATATTTCCAATGGCCAGCCCTGCAAAAAATACAGACAAAATGATGCTAAACAATTTACGTCATAAAAGTAAAAACGCGAAAAATAAACTAATTATAAACATGAAAGTGTATAACGATTAAATACGGTAAATATGAGGCTAAATTGTCACAGAGGTTAAAAACGCGAAAGAACGATAATAATAATAATAATAATAATAATAATAATAATAATAATAATAATAATAATAATAATAATAATAATAAAAATAATAATAATAATAATAATAACGATAAGAATAATAATAATAACTATAAGAATATTAATAATAACAATAATAATAATAATAATAATAATAATACAAATAATAATAATAATAATAATAATAAAACATACACATTCAATATTAAAAGGATTGAGAGGAAGCAATATAAAAGCAGTAAAACATTTAAATAAATAAAAATTTCAAATACAGGCTACAAATGAGGCTAAAAAATTATGTCATAAAAGTAAAAGATGCGAAATAATGCCAGGTAGCCTATATTTAACCTGTAATGGTGGCACACAAACACACACACCCACCCACACCCCACCCCCCCCCCTCTTTTAAAACATAGGCACAAATGTTAAACCATGGACTGGAGGAACAACTTATGGTTGAATTTTAATACCGGTATTTGTACTATTGTAAACTCACATTGAGAAAATAATAAAAGTTTTGGAAACATCTTACCATAGAGGGCGCTCATCCAAAAACATTTGTTGTCACGTTTGGATTGCAATTCATCTATTAGTAATTACTAGGGTTTATTTATGCATGTCTCATGTTGAATCACGTCAGCTGGTTTTCTACTTTTATACTAAAATATCGTTGAAACTTTCAAACAAGACCAGTATGACTAATTATGTTAAATAGTATTATTTAGGATATTAATAAGAATAATAAGTACCGTAAATAAAAAAGTTTAGGCCTACTTTATAGTCTTTGAATAGGCCTAGGCCTACCCTTAATCTAGGCCTACCCTTAATTTTCTGTCAGCATATGACGTAAGCAATTTTATATAGTAAAACGTCTGTAAATCATTAAAAACTAATTTTAACAATATTTATGACTAATTGAAAGTTAATATACCTTTACTTAAAGACGTATTGTCCCTTGCTAATGTCAAAAAAAAAATCATAAAAAACAATTTTGAAATAAACTTGCTCATATTGCAATAGCATACAAATTATTAACTTGTGCATAAAAATTATTAAATTTAAAAAATGTGTACCCTGGTTTTTAAACTAAAAAATTACATGAAAATAACAAAATACTTTCAGTGAGTGACTGGAAGTGTTTCTATCATTTTTCGCTGTAAACTGATGGGTAGACATTTTTATATACACTAATTTCTATGTTCAAGTTGATAACTTTTATGTTACTTCAAAATGAGCAAGTTAATTTCAAAAAATATTTTTATTGTGTTTTTGGTAGTTAGCATGGGAGTACAATACATCTTTAATGGTATTAAATTAGCAATTGAAATTTAATTATATTTTTTGAGGTTTTCCCTCTGTTTTCTGGGTGGCAGTAAATGTTTTAATCTGACCTGCATTGTGGGGAGTTTATGAGCAATCGCAGTACATCATCAAGACATGATATTATACTCGTAGAACAGCACGCGTATGGTCACATGATCAATTCAGCCCCATATAGTGTAAAACGCTTATCTTCATTTCCGCATACTGCCGATTTGTCTACCAATCAGGAAGCGCTGGACTTCAGAGATTTATGAATGATGGATGGTGAATGCTCGTTTAGTTGTTGGGGCCTCGTACATTGGTTTGGATGAGTAAAGATATGAGTAAGACGGCTGCTCAAAAGATCTAGGGCGAACCAATATTATGAATGAGTATGGCGACGTAAACGTCAAATTAATACAAACCAGACATTGGGTAGAACCCTACATCAAGAGGTTTAATAAATGCACCTATTGGAATATAGATTTGAACGATATGAGCCATAATGGAGCAATTAATTAAGCGAAAATGTGAAATATCGCCATTTATTAGCCACTTATATATTATTCAATTAACATATGCACATGTTGGTAAAATATTTATTTATATAATTTGTTCTAATACATAATGACTATTTTTATATTGGATACTAAGATGTTGTCGAATTCACCAAAATGAATAAAAAAGAACAAAATCATAAGTATCAGATCTTTATGTTTATTGTTTGCGTCTTAATAGTATAGCTAGCTTCCACCATTTTACAGCATAAATCTCAAGTGAAAAACAAAAAATAATCTATAAAGCGGCATCAGTAGGTAGTTAAAAAGGTATTATGATGTATTTTCGATCTCCTGAAAATTAGCACAAAATTATAAAAATCAATTTTTAAATATATCTTTGCTTATGTTGAAGTAACATACGGTAGGAAAATATAAACTTTACCATAGACATTACTGTATAAGAGACAGTATATATAGAGGCCTATATAACATATTATTATCTGGTATAAAAAAAAAAACAGGGTAACTAATAACCACTGTTTTCTTTTTAATTCACTAATTTTAACGCCCAAGTTGATAATTTTATTATGTTTTATTTTACTTCAAAATGAGCAAGTTAATTTCAAAATTGAATTTAATGATTAGTTTAAGGGACTTTATATCTTTAATAATATCCTCCTGCATTAACTGCCCTCTATGATGCTAGGTAACCTTTAACGATAGATAAGAAATTATATATGAACAAAAATAATAATGGAATATTCCATTCCACTGGCCTGTTTTGACTGAGCTTTTTGATTCAGCAGACGAATGACAGCCTACAGGAGAAGTAAACCTCTTAGGTAATAAGTCGGTAAGAGGCCGTGACATTGCTTGTCCTGTCCCGGTACTTTATCAGTTAGTACGCAGGACTCAAAACGAGCCTAGCCATGGAATTACACCAAATAACTATACTCGTGCTGACTTTAGCGTCTTCAATTTTCTCAAGTAATGGAATAGACTTCGTTTATCATCCATATGAAGACATGATAAAACTACTTGAAGATGTCACCAACAGATGTCCCCATATTACGCGTTTATACGAAATTGGCAAAAGTGTCGAAGGGAGGAAGCTATACGTCCTTGAAATAAGTGACAATCCCGGAGTGCACGAAATAGGTGAACTGTGTTTTAATATTTTATATTATTTATATTAGTTATAATGTATTCATTTAGGTTATAACAGGAGCAAATTATAATATAATGATCATGATAATGATAATTATAATGATAATGGCGTTTTGTGTGGCCTCAATATCAGCCAACATCGAGACGAAATGGTCTGAAGGATCCTGTGTACCAATAAATAGCAAAAATAATAGTTCACTGTATTTAACTGATCGTGGTACACCATCATCAATGAACATTAGGTAAATTATAGGCATAGGCCTATGCTTTTAAATTATTCTCACACGTTTACGTCATAATATTGCGCCCATAGTAATCCGTCTTCGAAAATGAAACATCCATGACTATCTTTTAACTGACTGCATGTTCCGAGCTCGTCACCTCGATTAAGCCTATACGCTAGACACGCCTGTGTCTGTTATAAATATACCATACGATACCATGTATTCATGAGAATGCATATAATAATAGATCATAACACGGATGGTGTGAATACTATGATCAGTGCGAAGAGTGTATGTGATCAAACGTCATAATCTAATTGTAACGGGGAAAAACGAGGGTTAAAAAATATGGATAATATGCCTAACTCTACGCATTCCAAAATTCCTTTATGAAGGTCTAAGAGTTCATTCAATGATACGGTAATTAAACTTATGACACGATAATCTCGATGCCTAAACTTAACTAAAAGTTATAACGGTATTTAATGCATTAACATTAGGTACAAAAATTGCAAATACGCTATTTAAAATTTAAAATATAAACACAATTAAGTTAAGATACGATATTATTGTTAAAGTTATTAGTTATTATTATTATTATTATTATTATTATTATTATTATTATTATTATTATTATTATTATTATTTATTATTAGCCCCTATTTATTATTATTATTATTATTATTATTTATTATTATTTATTATTATTATTATTATTAATATTATTATTATTATTATTATTATTATTATCACCAAATGCATAATGTAATTGTTTTATTAATATGCCTATATGTTGGCCTAATCACGTGCTCACAAATTGTTTAGGCCTATACCCATTTATCAATAGGAGCTAACTGATGTTCAGGAACATTAGTCCATGCAATGGCATGGCTTCTTCATGCAAATAAAGATATGTACTGAGATATAAAATGATATGTGGGCAGGGGCAGTGGTTAATCACATTACTTGATGACAATTTTTTAACTTTTGCTCCTCGTCACCCCTGTTCAACCTTCTTTTTTGTTTTGTTTTGTTTTTTGTTTTTTGTCGAAAGATGGAAAATAAATAAATATGTACTAAGCACCAGTAAATGGCAATTGAATGATATTACCAAATTTAGGCAGTAGGGGCCTAGAGCAAGTGCACACGCGCCACTGGGATACCGGTAAGACTGCAGTAGATGCATGGTGACTCATATCGGAAGAAGTAACATACGAAGATGGGGAAGTTGTGGTGTTTTCCATTGTTTTAACTGGTACAAATTACTCCCGTGTGACCGAAACAGATTGTGATATAGTACGTTATAATATGCACTGTCGTAACTTCTGAATTTAGAAAATGAATCTGTTCTTTGTAATAAACACTATTTCACATATAATTATAATGTAATTGCTGTGTTGTTTTAGTGTAACTCTTAAATTATTCACGGCATATTAGCATCAAAAGTAAAAGCAAGCTTCTGCTTGGTGGGGCGGAAGATGTCAACTTAAACACGATCACAGTGACGCTTCAATCATCGTGGTCTAGTATATAAAAAATGTCGGCAAGATACTTTCCGATTCAATTCGTAGTAATTGAGACAAATTTCCTCCTAATTTCTGTCCAAAAAAAAAAAACAGTAATGAACTCCTACATACAGCATGTTAAGAAGAAGAGTGTGTGCAAAATATGACAAGGAATTTATTGACGATCGCGCGTTGTCCTAAATAGCGCGATTTAGAAGCACTGATGCTGTAGGCCAATAAGTCACGCATCTAGTACGGTAATTTTATACTCCGCGAATATACTGAAACTAACACGATACAATTATTAACATTGGTGCGTAGGCCTATGCGTGTGCAAATCCACGTGTAGTGGAGGAAAAGCACCCCGAATCTCAAAATCATTAGGACTTCCCTACACCACCCAGGAGAGAAAGATGCGCTACGTAGAAGATTTATAAAAAAATGTTTCGCTTTGTAAAGAAAAGTGAAATCAGTAACGAGAAATATTCTAGAGGCCAGTGACAATTATTGGGCAGTTTTCAATAATCACGTAGTGGCGGTCAACAATTATGTGGCAACAGTCAATAGTCAATGTGAAAAGGGGATAGAAAAGTTACGTTTAAGTTAACATGATGACGTCACGATTGACACGTAATCTAATGGCACCAAATATACTGATATTTACATGTTTTACATTTCGTTGATTTATGTTTTGCGAAATCATTAATGTAAGTTCTATGTTTTGTATTTTGTGCAGGCCTCATATTATTATCACATCAGATCCCGAACATCAGTAATTTGCTCCTTTAAACATTATCGGCGGCAAATGCGTGTTGCACCCATTTTCCGATAGCCATGGAGACAATACAGATAGGCCTATGACCATTCGTGCATACATACGCCACATACGCAATTATTTGTTGGCACATTCTTTTGTTTAAATTGCGTGGATATTCATTATGTAATTAATAATTGATCAAGTGGAAAAGTTTATTTCTGGAAGTGAGCCGCATTGAATGCTCTTTCAAGTTTTCCCACTGATCTAATAATAAATGCGTACGAAAAAAATCACATACGGTAACTACCGTAAGCGCCGCAGCATGAGTCAAGGGGTGACGCCAGGATTGGGTGGCGCGATGTCCCCGACCGGGATAGGGGAAATGTCCCCCGACAAGAGCAAATTGGCGTGGTCGGGCGTCGCTCAAAACGTTTCGTAAAGCCCCCGAAATTTAGTTGTTTCAAAGGCTTATTTTATCGATTTTATAGACAGATAGCGAGTCCACCAATATGTAGAAAATACAAATATTTTTTTCTCCCCGACGAATTGTGGTTTTTGTAGGTGGGGGTCCTACGGGGTAGGGAGTCCTACTGGTTGGGGAGCCCCCCCCCCCCCCTGGCGCTCCCCCCACTGGCGCTACCCCTGGCTCAGTCTCGGTGGTAAAAGACCTACAGTACGTACCGGTACATGGCGATGTATATCAGGCAATAGGGAGGTGGATATTTGGAACAAGTTTGTCTTGCTTTGTGCATAACATCGGTATTTTGTTATACATTTGGTAAAAGTCAACTGACCTACTAATCGTGATTGTGTGAGTAGGCCTAATGACGTTTCTGTATAGTTGTTTAGGAATAAATGACATTCAATTGCTTAGCAGCAATAAATAAATAACATACCAAAGCAACATTGACTGTCCAGAGAATAACATTTTTGATAAAAACTTTTGTTCTGTAAACGTGGACCTCTGAGGGGCAATGTGTTTCTGATACATTACGCACATATAAAATTATATGGAGGCCTGTAAGCCAGCGCAATGCCTAGTGGATCAAATATGAGTTGACGCAACTGCGCGTGAGGTCTACCACCAACCAATAGCAGACGCGTATTGATATAAATTGAGATACGCGCATAACAGTCAATCACAAGGTGGATAGTAGGATGTTTATACTTTTAAGAGGCAGGGGATAAATGCAGACTAGAAATACGTTATGACAGAATAGTGAGAGATTCACTTTAAGTTATTAAAAAAAATAACGGTTAGGCCTACAAAATTAGAGTCCTACTGTACAAAACTAGTCGTATTATCTGTTGCTCAAACTTTATTTTCCCCGAAAAGCACTCTCCGAAAGACCTCGAAGAGTTTAGAGGTACCACAGGGTAACACATTTTGGCACTGAAATAAAGTGCCTCGCATGCAGTTATTCTATCTATCAATACTTGAAACTGATTACATGACAGGTGACTGGACGCTCGCAACCTAGCACACGCATCTATAGAATGACTTGCTTAGATATGTCTAGCCTAACCATTATGTATAGTTTGCAACAAGTCTTCCGAGAGTTGAGATGGAATTCCACCAGGACTTTTATCAATCATAGATGCAGAACAGCAGTGAATTGAATTGGCTCAATAATGAGATTTTATGTCTGATAAGCAGAAGTAAACTATTAGTTGTGATCATGTGAAAGTGTTCAGAGTTTCTTGTTTTGTATTTCAGCGCCATTAACTTAACTCCGCAAAACATTTTAAAAAATCGTTAAACCGCGTTATAAATCCCACCTGTATTGCTTAAACTTCCAGATGTCCGATAGGGGCTTACTCAAATTGACCTTTCATTATTCTCACACATACACCTGTGAATGATCGGCATTGTTGGCCTTAAAAAAATCGATGAAAAGCGTATTGTTCAGTCTGATAGCCATGAAATGCTTGTATTTTTAGATCTACCCTGACATTTCGTTTGCTTATATCATGTAATATCGGTCTATGAAACCTTCCACGGCGACAGACAATGCCGGATGGAAGGGTTGTCTCAATTATTTACAAGCGTTATGCCTACCGGCATGACGGGTAAAAACCCAGAAACAAAGCGGATAATGCAGTGATTCAATAAATTAATATTAATCAAAAACACACACATAGGCCTAGGCCTATATCTTTTTTTTCACACTCACAAGTTCAAAATGTATGATAACAGCATTACTGCAAGATGGTATTGAATATATATATATATATATATATAATATCGAATGTTAGACATAGGATCTATGTCGTACACGTCAATATGACACGTATCTCTAACGTGAAGGCTGCACGACGGTTAAATTTTGTTGATTCTGGGTTTAGTCTGCTTTTAGACGGAAGAAGATGAAAAAAAAAATAGTTGTTTTAGTTGCTATCACAATTTCCTCTTTAAATCTTGGTGTTTGAAAAACAAAACCAAGGATAACTTTCAATGACCTTTAGAATATAATTTTAAGAAGGCGCTGTTCGGGGCCATTTCGA